TCACATACGTAATAAACACTCCTTTTTCGCTAATAAAACAAGTTATATGATTTTATGCGTTTTATTGGTACTTTTTAGTCCCTTGGGGATAGTGTGGCCCATGTAGCATTATTTTGACTGTTTTTCTATTTTTAATTTTTGAAAAAATTGGCTAAAAGGCATTTGGAAGGGCAAGGAACACCTGCTTAAAATCATGAATATGAGATATGAGAATGGAGGAAGGCAGTGAGAGAAGGATGTAAGGAAGGAGGAAGGCAATGATAGAGGATGTAAGGAAGGAAGGAGGCAGTGAGAGAGGGATGTAAGGAAGGAGGAAGGCAATGATAGAGGATGTAAGGAAGGAGGAAGGCAATGATAGAGGATGTAAGGAAGGAGGAAGGCAATGATAGAGGATGTAAGGAAGGAGGAAGGCAGGGAGAGAGAGATGTAAGGAAGGAGGAAGGCAGTGAGAGGAATGTAAGGAAGTCGAAAGGCAGGGAGAGATGGATGTAAGGAGGGAGAAAGGCAGGGAGAGAGGGATGTAAGGCAGGAGGAAGACAGTTAGAGAAGGATGTAAGGAGGGAGAAAGGCAGGGAGAGAGRGATGTAAGGCGGGAGGAAGACAGGCATAGAAGAAAAGGGAAGAAAAGCARGCATAGGTTCTGTGCAACAGTTGAAGGATACATAGTTCCATTATTTTATTCTGGGGTCAACTTGAGTCCCTCAATGCACTATCTCATTCCCAGCACTGTTGCACCCTTGATCTCAATTAGATGAACTTATTTCCATTACATTTGGCACTGTTACTACTAAGTGAGTGGTGCCCTTATGCAGGGTTATTGCTATTTTATTGCAATACAAATCAATTATATTAAAATCAAGAACTATCTATCCTGTTCTACATTTGCCCTTAAATGCCTTTAAATCTTATCAGCCTTACAGTGACATGCGAAAGGGTGACCGACGATAATGTATTTGCATGGCTTTTACCCAACAGAGTTTAAAAACTCGTTTGACAACAGCATGCAATTTACAAATACATTAAGTGTGGTCATACTTTGTCTCGTGGTCATACTTTGTCTCGTGGCGCTGTAAGACCATTTTAAAAAACCCTGCTCCAACAGGGTCTAGCCCCAAACATTACTAGTTCTTATATTTATAACTACTACAAGTTAATGAAAAATGAAATCAAAAGAAATAGAAAACCTGTTTGAATAAAAATTGAAAGCTGATAAAGTTTTAGAGTATYTTTCGTATGACTGCAAAAATTGAGGCATGGCACAGAGTGCATTACAATGCATGCAATACACTGTTTTGAGAAGTCATCATCTTACTACCACTACCAAAATGCATTGCGAATTTTATTTCTTATTCAAATGTGTATTGTCTCAAGAGAAGAATAAGACAGTTGATGTGAATTAACCGAACAAAAGAAAGTGTGCAAGGGATTCTGATAATTGTAGTAACTGACATTATAATGCATGTGACCTATTACTTCCGCACCACTCAGAACGCTCAAACCATCCCCATTACTGTCACAACACAGTGCAACTCTTCCTTACATTTTTCATGATTGATCYGCTCCAAATGTTAGTGGTGACTTGAAGAACCATGTAAATTGTAGAAAAATACTCCCTCAAATTAGAAAAAATAAGAGCAAGCAATCAAGAAGTTGTTCCTAAATGGCAAGTCTAATTTGTGTTTGCTTGTGTTATTGATTTGTGCCCCCCCCCCCCTCCCAATTGAATGAGTAAATATTATGGCTTAATGAATTAATTTAAGACTAACTAAACTACACTGTGTTCTTGGTGATACCATCATTTAAAGAACATGTCTTTCAGTAGTGCAATAGTTTCTTCTGGACAAGCAACTTTGTGGATGGATACATGGATGGATGGATGGATGCATGGACGGATGGATGGATGGGTGGATGGATAGATGGGTCTCATGGATAGATGGATCTGATGTCAATACTTCTTACGATCATTACAATCTAATAAGACCCTCCAACCCCTGATCAACATGCATAAGATCAAATGAATGCCTAAGAAATTTCACCTTTCTATTTTTCCCAATACTTGCATCAACACATCCTTAGCCAGGAGCACATAATTACTCATCTCATAACTAACACCTCACCTCATAACATTTATCGCCAAAGAAGTGGATCTCCTTGAAGTTCTCACCCATCACATGATTCAGACAGTATCGCTTATCCCAGCCCTGTGGAAACGCGTCRAAGCTTATCTGCCCTCCTATACTAAAATGAAGATTGTAGTCTTTAAACTTTTCTCTTAAGACCTTCACGAATGTATCTCGTATCTTGTGCACCTAACAATTGAGAAAACGATAATTATTATGACTGTTAGTACATAAAAAATTTATTATTAAATGTACTTTTAAAAATGTTAAATGGACAGTGTACATATTTTGATAGTGTTATCAAGGATAACAAGCACCCTCAATGAGATTCTGCTCTTGCGGCAAACTGGAAATTTATAAGTCTAGAAATAAAAATAAAACKATTTCCCAGTTCATCTCCCCCACCCATTCAAGTCAAATACTAAATACAGGTGGTGAAGCAGCAAGAGAGTTCACTCTCGCCAAGGCAACACAGGTTTAAGTCTTCCCGGGCTTGATGTCATACTGTATGTGAGTAGAGTAGAGTTGTTTGTTGGTTCTTTTCTATGCTTTGAGTGTTTTTTCTCCAGGTTCTCCAGTTTATGCTCCTTCCGCAACAATCAACTTCTAAATTCTAATTTAATCTATCATAGTATATATTGCCTTATCAAGTGGGTTGCAAAACCTGATAAGCTTTCTGTCCAACATGAAGTGATAAATCAAATAAGATTACATAATTATTATGTTTTTAATGGTAAAAGGGACTTCTATATAACACCCCTTAATATCTTACTTTATCATATTCATTGAATGCTATTCTCTCTTCTTGTGAACAGTTTCTACCAATTGGTGAGACRTTTATAAGTCCATTACGAAATTCGACAAAGGTTCCCCTGGAAAAATAGTAAAGATTATTTGTCACATGTATGTCAGATGAGAAAATCCAGTGTTGGTATATGCGCCTGTAAAAGTGTATGAAATTTCTCACCCCCAGAACCCCACCCCCACTCAGCATTCCCCCCACCTCCACTTGGCAATTCCCCCCCCTCCCCTAACTTGGCAATTTCACCCCCACCCCCACTTGGCAATTTGGCAGGTGTCCTAATAGACAATATGCATTAAAGTGCACAAAGCAGTCTCRATTGGGACACCAATGCAAAAATATGATAATWTTATCATACTACTGTAAAGTAAGATAATATTCCCTCATTCATTTATCACAAACAACCATATCTCTCATTTTAGAGCTTCTCAATCACACATACACAAAATTGTACAATTTTCTGTCCTGACAAAATGGTTTCGAAAAAATAAAGTTATTTTGGACATCAATCAAARTGTGCCCAAAGCACATGTCTGTTGAATATTTACATATTATCATATGACTCGTATGTGCCTGGGYGCACGCTTTYAAAAAACCTTTGGGAAAATGGYRTGAGCAGGGCCGTACCACTTTGAGYGAACAGGGCCATATGAATCYGTACGGCTCTGTTCRAAATCTGYGACYGTATTTTCTTCTTTTCTTTGATTATTTTTCTTTTTGTGAGGGTCATATGATAAAATGCTTATTGACTGAGTTAGGTTGGGCTGTATGGGAAAATATTTGGCTCTCGGTCATTTGTACAGACCTGCGGTCCATATGGCATCACCTTGAGACAAATATTTTCCCATATGGCCCTCCCACTCAGTCAATAAGTACATATTATTTACCTTTTAACTGGAATTTTAAGATCAGCTATGTATCGAAGACAAAAGTTGACAAATTCTTGAATCTTTTCTTCACCAAGGAACTTTTTGATGCTCTAAGGAGATAACAGACCACTTTAAAATATATATAATAACCAGTACTGTTTYCATTGATACAAGCTAATTTAGAAAAAGTCATGGCAGGTTAATTATGGGCAACACRCCACCTCCATCAATCAAACAAATTATTTCCCATCTTTACGTTCTCACGGAACCCATGTAGGCCCATCGCTAGCCATCTCTACGTTCCCTGGATGCCATGCAGGCCCRTAGCTAGTGTGGTTTGATGGTTYGAATGAACCCTCTCCCATCTACACCTTTGTTTGAGGAGTACAATATTATGTTTAGCACTATTTTTGTTTATCAAGAAATGGCATAACTAAGATTGGTAGAAAAACAAACCTCCCCTTTCAAGATCCTAGCAATGGGCCTGCCCATGGTCATGTACATACACCTATTTCAAAGGCGATAGGCAGTAGACAAAAAGCAATAGGCAAAAAGCAATAGGAGATGACTTGTGTTTCAGCTTGAATGATGTGTGTTTCTGCTTCTTATTCTCATCAAGAATATGGACCTTAGCRTGAGACTGATTCAATGTTCTTTGTATTCAACGAAACCATTTTCATGTCTGAATGAACTATTGCCTATTGCCTTTGGCAATGACAACGTTCTTTGGAATAGGTGTATGAAGTACCATTACATACTCCAAAAAATTATTGGTTGACACTAGGGGTTTATCAYCCATTAACCTGTCATATGAGTTTGTCTCCATCAGAACATACATGTACTGTAGTGCAGCTGAAAGCAATCATGGTAATCATTATAAACCCATTATGCACCATTAACCACCAGCAGGTTTCTAGGAGAGGTACCACTAGGAGATCATAAAGTTTCATGAGTCTTCCAGGGAATAAATACACGAATYCCAGGACCCACAAAACAGGAATAGGCCTTTTGCAACGAACAGTCACGTGCTGATAATTTATACCACTTGATAACGAATCAATTCAGGCAAAGGTCCCTTGGGGAAAACTCTGCTGGATGGCAACCAGACTTTAAATGCTTTGTATCTTGGAATCCAAAGTGTCTTTTCTTACAAAAAAAAAGTATTTTGAAAAAGGTTTTGGATATGACACTAGTAATCCAGAAAAGGTTATGTAAATAAAGGAAGTCCATTTTTATTGCCATCTAGTAACAGTCATGTGATTATTTCCTGCAAACGGCCAACCTATTCAGGAGCAGTGTGAACCCTGCACCAGTATATTATAATTATGGAACCTTTTAAAACTATTAAAGTTAAATATGAACTCACCTGAACAGACAATATCTGCCCATCTTTGTAGGCTACGAGTCCGTTTTCAGGAAACACGTAATCATAAATTTGAGTTACTGCAAGGTAGTATTAATAGTAATTGTTATATACTAACTACCAAAATCCATCTTTCTCGTACTCTGATTGGGCRAGAAGGTATCACATGAACAAGTTTCAATGTTTCCCTGGAAAGGCTTTGAGTGGGCAACAATATATTGTTGACCGGTAATAACAATACCGGAAGTGATTTTAATAGAAATGTACGTTTTTCAAAGTTTTTTGAAATCAAATAATCAAAGGGTCAAATAACTGCTTTTTTTTCTTTGATATTTGGTATATAATAAAACACTTATTGACTCGAACCTCGGGAAAGCAGTGTGTCTTGTGGTCCCTCAACGGCAATGTTTCCCTTGGCTTCCCAGTCAATAAGTGTTAAATGTGATTTTCAATATTGTTATAAGTCAGGGGGATGTACACTGCTTGGGATAGGAGGGGTGGGGGTAAGAGTTCATGATTTCAGGCTTTGAGATTTCAGAGTTTCAAGGTAAACCCTTCCCTGCTAGCAGAGAATATTTTCCTTTTGTTTTGGTTGAGAGAGGAAAATAGACTCTGCCGATGTAGGACGTTATTTCTGTTGCACATGCGTGGCGTTACTTAGCAATGCYGTCATGATTTTGACCGCCGCTCTCGTCGAACAATGTTTGGCGCCATGGTGTGTTACATTTGCTCATGCGCACTACATGTAATTGGGAAAGTAAACCCCTTTATAAACTTTCTTTATATTTTTTGTGGAAGATCAGGAGATTAAGCGAGCGAAGGGGTCCACTAAATTATTAAAATGAAGAATTCATAAAAATTCTCTAACCCCCCCTCCTTCCCTTTGAACACACACACACACACACACATATAGAACACTCAAAAATCTCATCTTTAAATGATACAAGTCTGTATCTATTATATGTGTTCGAAAAGTTCACTGAAGCATATATAGCTGTACACTAGGATAGTTTTGAAACAAAAGTCAGAGACGAAGTCGAAGTGTGTACGTCACCAAAAGCTCAAAGTTCATATCATGCACACAAAAATGACAGTTAAAAAATGTCAAAAAATAAGTTGAAAACTACCGATCTCAAACGAAATCTTTGGACGAATGATACCTATCATTGAGGTCCTTACAGATAATGTATAATTATGGATTGCTAAAAGGTGATAAAATATAAATCGCCTCTGTATAAAAGCAGGTGTGTTATGAAAACGAAGAAACAAAACTTTAGAAATCTCGAGTCAGCTGAATAACATTCATAAATAAATATTGTAAAATATTAGTGCTGGATTTCCGTAGAGACTTAAAACTTTGATATAGGTGTAGACTCACCATCATCTCCTCCCATTTGCTCTTGGATTTTCACAAAATCAGACCCTCCAACGAGACCAACTTTGACTTTCTTTCTCAATTCAGCCATCATGGTCTTCATTTCAGGTTTGATATTCTAGAAAAAGATCGCGGAAATATCAATCACACACACTAAAACACCGTAAAACTTTGTCGAAACGTAGAGTAGGGATTGAGGAAAGGAATCTTCTTTTTTTTTACCAGACGAGCTGGAGTAACGGTTCCATCGACGTCGAAAAGACAGAGAATATCCCTTGAAGAAGCGGACGCCATGTTTGTTTCTCGTTGATCGGCCACCGTGGCGTGACACGTTGCAATGTACACACCCCCAGACATCAACCAATCACAGTACGCGTTATATCTTCATCCGACAATGACGTTATCGCAACTCCTATAAACTTCTTTCTTTCTTTCACCTTTCTTTCTTTCTTTCTTTCCTTTTAATCCTATTTAATCCTATTTTTCTCTCCAAACTTTTTATTTTTCTCCTCTTTTCTTACACCCCCCCCCCCCCGTTAAAGGACAATTTATATGCCAACAGGTTAACATTGCCAGACTAATCTTCATTAGCCCTCTTTTTTCGTTTGCAAGTCTCCAAATTGCATAGTTTAAAATCATGGAAAATATGTTATATATAAGAAATATATATTGTGTTGTAAGAAAGCTACTGTATCAAATTCTGAGTTGACAAAGTTGATGTACTGGTAATGATGATGATAATGTAAGGGTGATGATGATTTAATGATGATGATCTAAGGTGATGATAATGATGATACTTATCTAAGATGATGATGACGTTGATGATGATGATGATGCTAATGATGATGTAAGATGATGATGATGTAATGGTGATAATGATTTAACAATGACAATCTAAGGTGATTATAATGATGCTGATGTAATGATGATGATGATGATGTAAGACGATGACAATATAATGGTGATGATGATGTAACAATGATGTTCTAAGGTGATGATAATGATGATACTTATCTAAGATGATGATGACATTGATGATGAAGATGATAATGTAAGATGATGATGATGTAATGGTGATAATGATTTAACAATGACGACCTAAGGTGATTATAATGATGCTTATCTATGATAATGATGTAAGATGATGATGTAATGATGATGATGATGATGTAAGACAATGACGATGTAATGGTGATGATGATGTAACAATGATGTTCTAAGGTGATGATAATGATAATCCTTATCTAAGATGATGATGACTATGATGATCTAATAAGTTGATGATGATGCAAATTGGGTATAAATCACCATGAGTGAGCCAATATCAAAAATGGCCCCAAACCAAAACCACACATGAAAATTTGCACAAATTGCAGATTTTTTATTTGATTACTATGAATTGAATAAATTGAATTAAATTAATTTAATCATGAATATATACATTGTTTCTTTTAATACTCCATATGCTGTTCACATTTGCATGATATCATGATACAAAAAGAGTTTCTTTACTTTGTTTAGATGACTTCATGCATTGGAATAAAGAAATATTGGCAGATAGTTAAGAGTGGCGCATGCAGTATATATATAAAAAAAAAWTTTTGGAAATGGAAATTGCCAAGTGAATGTGAATTGTTTCTATCAATCCCACAAACTGGAATTCCTAAATACCATAAAGTAAATACTTAATCTCAAAAATATTTAGAAAAATTTCAGGTAAATCCATCTGTACTCATCTGGTAAATAATATTCCTGTGTGCATGTTTCCCAGATATTTCCATCGCTGTTTGCAACAAATTTTGCTTCCAAGATGAAAATGTTTCTGCTGTGTAGCAAAAAATTTCATGCTTCCAAGATGCATGGAAAAAATGTTTCCTGATGTTTCCTCGTTTAGCCATGAAAGAAAACATTCTAAAAGTTTGTTACTTAGCAACGCTCACTTCATCTTGAAAGTGCACATGTGCTAACCGATGTTGAATACAGATGTTTCCCGATGTTTCCTGACAGTTTGCCACCTTTGGAAATATTTAAGAAAACATGGTTCTTGAAACATGTTTCCTGGTTTTAGCCAGGGCCTAAGCAAGCACCATATATATAGTGGCATGATGTGTTGTTTATAATCCAAGACAGCAATACTTATAGCTTTCAACCAAATTTACTTTATTGATTAATAATACACTGTTAACAAACAGTTCTTATTAAGTTTCAAGTTTGCTTTGACTTTGATATACAACATACACCTTATACAACTTAAAATATTGATGGTGTGCAATGGAAGCTAATGAAAAAACGATCTTTTAATTCCACCAGCATGCCAGAGATGATGGAATGTGAAAACCAAGATTTTAAAATTCTATTTAATATATAAACTATTATAAGCTGCATTCTCTGCATTTTCCTTGGTCATTGTAAGGCTGATATTTCCTCGGACTGTTAAAGGAAATTACAAACATATAAGTTCTGAAAAAAACGAGCTTGAAAACAAACAGTTTGTGACAGTTCCATTGGGGAAGGACAAGTCCTGTCAGTCATTCTGAAAAGTCATTTCCAAAACCATTTCCAACCCAAATCACTTGCTTCCTGTCACATGAAAATTTAATTGGAATCTTATTGACAAAAGATTTTTGTAGGCTTATGGCCARGGCATTTTTCAACTAGGATTTAATTACAAAGACCAAGAAAAATGGGAGGTACTCCATGAAATCAAATTAATTAAATTTGCCATTTAATGGACATCTAATATAGGAATACTTATCTTATAGTACAAACAAATTGAATAGAAAATCTAGCTATCACTATGACTATTAGTATTATAGTATTATGTTAAGTTAATCGAACATCACTTTCTGATGTGAAGTACAGCTAATTTAAGGTAACCATACAACCTTGCTCTTACTAGAAGACACATGAAGCAAATAAGTAGAGGAAATCGTACGATCTCGAGTACAATTCAGAATTTATAGCTACGAGTAATGTTTTGAAAGTTTTCAAAATTGGACGAGCCTATAAGCGAGTTCAATTTGAGAACTTTCTAAACATCACAGGCATCTATAAATTCCAAATTGTATGAGAAAATCGTGCGATTTTTTGTTTTTAATACACTCAAAAAAATTGAGTAACTTAATTGGGACTCTACAGAGTACAATTTGGGATTTAATTGTACTCCTCTTGTCCAATCAGAATCAAGTAATTTTGTAGTGTATAATATTAAGTAATTTAATTGCGAATCAGAGTTAATAAGGGAAAGATCAAGTTGATACTAAAAACCCTACACCATATATAGGCCTTTTCTGAGATAGAGAACATGGTGCATTGTGGTCTTGCTTGGGTACAGATAAACCACAATAAACTATCTTAATCAAACACAAAAAAGGAAGCAAAAGAGGAAATGTTTTTTTTCTTTACTTTTCAAGGCATCGGCCATATACACTTTAATAGAGATTTTGAACCACCAATGTTCCAGCAGCCATGTTATTAGATGTCAGAACAATAAAATCCCTTTGCTCTTGGGAATTAAATCCTTTTTTAAGTAAAACGATTGCATCATTCCTGTCATATTTTAACTTCTGGCTGCCGTCATGGGATGGTGCAAAACCTTTAGAGCCTATTTCAGTGCTTCCTTTTAAGTGTGAGCATTAAAGACTAGAACTAACCAGATAGAAGGGGATAGTTGATGTAAGCGTTTTAGCCTTGGGGCAACCGAGGAGGGCGTGCAGGCGAGATTTGTATCGACGAAAATCCCACGTCCCAGGCGTC